TAATCCTAATAGGTGATATGTAAAGATAACTTCTAAAAATATCGTGATTCCTATCTCCATAACTCGGTAGGATTAGGTTCTTATCTTACTTTTCAAGTTTCCTTTTACAAGCTTTGCTCAACAAGAGACACTAGAGAAAAGTAGTTTTCGAAATGACAAATTCATGACACTTAAAAACGTTACAACATCAGATAATGATGTGGCTTCTCTCCAACATCAGCTAATGATGTGGCTGAATATTCGATTTTGCTCTTTTGTATTGCTTTAATGAAATATGAATATTCGATTTTGCTTTTTGTATTTTCGAAATTAATTTTTTATAATAAAAAAATTTAATTTTCAAAATTTCAAAATTTCAGATTTTTCAAATTTTCAAATTTTTAAATTTCCAAATATTAATATAGTTTTACTTAGTTATACCGAATTATACTACTACATTAATTATATTGAGTTTTACTAGTTATATTGAGTTACACTTGTTATATTATGTAATATTGATGCTAGTTATACCAAATTTGATTGAGTTATACTGAATGGTACTACTAAGTATTACTATTCAGTATTACTACCGAGTAGTACTACCGAGTAATACTACCGAGTAATACTAGGAAGTACTACTGAGTAGTACTATCGAGTATTACTGCCAAATATTACCGAATATTACTAAGTACTACTACGTATTACATACAAAGTTGTAAAAATTAGATTTGAAGATGATTAAAATAAAAATACGAAAAAATCCTTGAAAAGAAGAACAAGAACAATAAGAACCCTAAATCATAGAAAATACATAATCTTTTTTAATAACCCTAAATCAAAATCATCCAGAACAAAGAAAACCTAAATCAAAGCAAAAATCCAGAATTCTTCATCAAATTAGGTGGAGTCGTCAATATTCTGAGCAGATCTGAGATGAAAAAGAAGAAGAAATTGCCATTTATGTCGTTGCCATCACCTTCGACGGTTGATGTTCTTGTTTCCATTAATTGCGGAGTTTCTGATGACAGCTTCCATTACTGGTGAAGTTCTTATCACCAGCAATAAATCTCAAGGAACAAGAAAACAGAGAAAAGGAGAAAGAAGAAAGAAGAAGAGATAGAAGAGAAAATAGCAGAGGACAAAGAGAAAGATGGGAACAGAAAATAAAAAGATAAATGAAAGAGAAATCATATTACTAGGGTTAAAGATAAATGTGCCAATCGCTCTATTTTTGTATTAAAAATAAAATAGAATAATATTAAAATTAGAATGAGTCTTTGGGAGACTGGATAATAATATATGGGAGTAGGAAATCACTTGATTCTATTCAATGGCATTCCACGCGCTAGACATTTTTTATAGGAACTAAAGCCACCACTTCAATAGTTTCGTTGCGGAAAAAAGTTTCTCAGCTACACGAGGTTTACTATAATATGGTGAAAGCTATTCAGAGTATAAAAATGTGTTAAAACCTACACGATGTTTATGTTAATGCATACCACATATACAAAGTAACAATTAATATGGTGAAAGCATCATAGATGGATTAAATTGATTTTAACAAAAGATAATGGAGTCAATTTGTGATTAATCAAATTAAAACCAATTAAATGAAACCCGACCCAACCCTACATTTATATCCATCCGAATCTTTCTGTATATATTGAATTTGAGTTTTCTTCTGTATAGTTTTGTCTTTTTCTTAGTGTGGATGTGAATGCAATTTTTTCAATGGTTTGATGAGGAAACGCTTTTGGATGGCAGAAGAAAGCTTTGATTGAAGCTAGAAATGAAATTTGCGAGAAAAACAAAACTATTTCGGAATTGAAGAAGACAATTGCTGAGCTTAGAAGTGATTTGGCCAACAAAAAAAAACATATCCCAAAGACCATCGACATAGTTAAGCATCCCATCTTTATCATCGTTTTTGAACACACCCGAATAGAAACAATTTATCTTCACCAAAATTTTGTCACTGTTAACAAAAAAATTACATAAGAACATAGTGAAAGACATCGACTGATTCTCCAAGTAAACAAGCAAGGGTTAACAGTTTATTACCTTTCTTCCATTAGCTTTTTCGAATTCGTTTCCACTAAATGTGGATTCGGATTCCGATTTTATGGAAACCCTCTTACCAACCCCGAATCAACTTTCTCTGTCTCTCAAGTCTCTCTCTCTCTCTCTCTTTCTCTCTTTTCAAACCTTTTAATTTTTTTCTTCTTTCGAATCCTAAAACTAATGAAATCGCGATTTGAGGAAGAAAGGTTATGTCAGGTCGGGTTTATGGGATGGATCGGGTCGGATATTGTTAATTGGGGTTTATCTTTTTAATATTTCGGATTAACCCCAACAACTAATGTTAAAATAAATTAGACCTAATTATGATGTTGTTAACATATTTAATTATACTTCGTATATGTGGCATGTATTAATATAAATTTCGTGTAGTTATAGACACATTATGATACATCGGATTGTTTTCACCATATTATAGTAAATCTTGTGTAGCTGAGGAACTTTTTCCCTTTCGTTGCTGAGAAAAAGTTAGTGGATTAGAGTTGTAAATGTGACTGTATCAAGTTTGAATCTCACTAGTTATTTCCACTTTTTGATTAACCAAAGTTACATCATCTGAATTTTTTTTCCAGTTATAAAGCATCTGAAATTCTATTCCCACGGAAGTACCCATTGAGAAGCGAGGTAAGCATAACATTATGGATCACAGCTAAGGGTGGGAACGGATCAAATACTCGCAAAATTTTCAGTATAATTATCATTTGTTTCGTATATACGGATATCTAATATTTCTATTCATTTTGCTTCGGAAAATATAGATATTCAAATATATAGATATTTACAATTATTTATGAATACTTACAAATATATTTTATGTTTTGCTTAATACAAATAATCTACAAACTTGATACAAATTAATTTTTAAAAATATTTATTTACATCATATATAAAATGAAAATTACAGAAATCGATATAATAATAGTACAGTTTTTTCATTCCCAAGAGTGTCCACGTAGATATGTTTTCTGGATCCTACAAAGAGAAAAAAAAAACAAAACAAAAAGTTAGATCAAGAGTCGAACTCAGTTTACTTACTCTTCAAACAAAGTCTTTACGATCAGATTACTATGAATATTTGCCATATTTTATGAAAACTGGACTATAATACCTATGCTATTTTATAAATAAAATAAAATATTTAAAATTAGGATCCGTTTAATCTCCACATAATCCTCGATTAATCACTAATTTATTAGGCCTTCATCATCCGCCCAACTAACGCCTAGCGTCATTCCGAACAGAGTTTCAAACTAATCTAAACACATAGTGACTGTTCATATTTCCATGAATCAATTTCTCTTACTCTACCTCCATGTTTCCCATTTTTACTCCGTTAATTAATAATAGACCACGTTCGTAACACTTCCTGCATTCCGCGTAATATATACTCTATCTAAATGGAGGAATCATCCGTCTCTGATTCTCTCATTGATTCTTCTTCCAGTCGAATTTTATTGTATCTTCTCGAAAATGATTTCTTCTTCTGCTCTAGTTGCTAAAGCTGTTGCATGCCTATCAACTTTCGATTTTATCTACCTTTGCCAAACTGCTTAGTTTGTGGTTGCTCGCCGCCTTGATCTCTGGGATTCCTGGAGCATAAAAAAGATGGCGAATTTATGGGAATTAGAAAAGATTGAGAAGTACCTTTGGTATTTAACAAGACTGTATAGTTGACTCATTTTTACTTCGTTAATTAATAATGTACCACGTTCGTTACACCTCCTGCATTCCGCTTAATATATATTCTATCTTAGCGGAAGAACCCTTCATCTATGATTCTCTCGTTGATTCTTCGTCCAGTCAAATTTTATTACATCTTTTCGAATATGACTTCATCTTCTGCTCCAGTTGTTATAACCATTGCATGCCTCTCAACTTTCGATTCTCTTTACATTGGTTGAACTTCTGAGTTTATGGTTGCTCGCCGCCTTTGTTTTTAGGATTCCCAAAATATATAAAAAATAGCAAATTTACAGAAAATAGAGAAGAGTAAGAAGAACCTTTGACATTTAACAAAATTGCGTATTGGTTGCCGATATATACGAAAGACAATCACACGCAATATCAGTTCAGCTTATATGTCAAACGTCAAAAGATATAATAAAATTATAGAATACATTAACTATGTCTCCAATCCTGCGCTTGTGTGGGGGCTATCTCCCAGTAGTGAAATAATAAGACAAAACCTAAGAAAAATCATTTGTCATAATTTTTTATTTAATACTTTTATAAGTAATAATGTGAATAAAATTTATTAAATCATATGTTAGAATATTAATTATAAAAACTTATATATTTAAAACTCTTGAATAAATCAAGATATACATGTCATTATGTATTTGTCGGGGCGAAGCGATATCCACTTCTCAATATTTTGGTATTTGTGAGTTGTTTCAATTTTAACGGATATTAATTTTTAATATTTGTCTTGCTTCGAAAGTTTACGGATATCTTGAGTTACGAATTGAATTGATACATATAGTGAATCAAATCAAATTTAACAGATAAAATGCCTAGCCCTGATTACAAGCAAGTATAATCATATTCCCAAGATCAGCTGAAGCATGAGACTATGAGAGTGTGCGAGAGCAATGACAGAAATAGCATTATACATGTGGATAATCCACATAATCCACATAATCACTATATACATGTGGATTATGGAATCCGAGCAATAGCATTATACATGTTCCATTTCGCAGCCACACATGAAAAGTGAAAACCGGTTGAATACCGGTTGTAAACTTAACCTCGAACCGGAAACCAACTAGCTAAGCTGTTCTCACTGAAAATCGCGGAATACGACAAGAAACAACTAAGCAACTGCAACTTCTTCTCAAAAGTCAATCTACTAAAAATGACGTCTTCTTGTTCACACATATGGCTCATCCACAGACTTTTATCGCTACTCTAATCTCATGGCTTCTTCTTCTTCTTCCTCCTCGCCTCGCACGTGGAGATACCGCGTATTCACGAGCTTCCACGGACCTGACGTCCGTAAAACCTTCCTCACTCATCTACGCAAACAGTTTAACAACAATGGGATTTCGATGTTCGATGATCAAAGAATCGAGAGAGGCCACACCATCGCTCCTGCTCTCACACAAGCGATTAAAGAATCAAGAATCTCTATCGTTGTGTTCACGAAGCACTATGCTTCTTCCAGGTGGTGTTTGGATGAGCTTTTGGGAATTCTGAAATGCAAGGAAGAGATGGGACAGATAGTGATGACGATCTTCTACGGAGTAGATCCTTCTGATGTTCGGAAACAAACAGGAGATTTTGGTAAAGTTTTCAAGAAAACATGTCGTGGTAAAACAGAGGAGGAGAAGCAAAGATGGAGTCAAGCGTTGACCAATGTGGGAAACATAGCTGGGGAACACTTCCTAAACTGGTTTGTTTGCTTTTCCTTCACATATGAATTTTAATCTCTTATTAGGGACAAAGAGTCTGAGATGATTGAAAAGATTGCTAGAGATGTTTCAAACAAACTAAATGCTACAGTCTCTGGGGATTTTGAAGATATGGTTGGTATTGAAGCACATTTGGATAAGATGCAGTCTTTGTTACATTTAGATGAGGATGATGGAGCGATGATTGTTGGAATCTGNTCACATATGAATTTTAATCTCTTATTAGGGACAAAGAGTCTGAGATGATTGAAAAGATTGCTAGAGATGTTTCAAACAAACTAAATGCTACAGTCTCTGGGGATTTTGAAGATATGGTTGGTATTGAAGCACATTTGGATAAGATGCAGTCTTTGTTACATTTAGATGAGGATGATGGAGCGATGATTGTTGGAATCTGTGGCCCTGCTGGCATTGGTAAGTCTACCATTGCCAGAGCTTTACATAGCCGACTCTCTAGCAATTTCCAGCTTTGTTGTTTTATGGAGAATATTAGGGGAAGCTGTAACAGTGGTCTTGACGAGTATGGATTGAAACTACGTTTACAAGAGCATCTTCTTTCAAAGATTCTAAACCAAAACGGTGTGAAACTATTTCATTTAGGTGCGATACAGGAAAGGTTATGCGACTTAAAAGTGCTTATTATTCTTGATGATGTGGATGATCTAAAGCAACTAGAGGCTTTGGCTGATGAGACTAACTGGTTTGGTCCTGGAAGCAGGATTGTGGTGACCACGGAAGATCAAGAGGTTTTGGAGCAACATGATATCAACAATACATACATTGTGGATTTTCCATCTAAAGTAGATGCTCGTCAGATCTTCTGTAGGTCTGCTTTTAGACAGAACTCTGCACCCCAAGGTTTTGAAAAACTTGTGGAAAGAGTAGTAAATCTTTGCAGCAACCTTCCTTTGGGACTCCGCGTCATGGGTTCATCTTTACGCAGAAAGAAAGTAGATGACTGGGAAGGTATATTGCAGAGGCTAGAGAATAGCCTTGATCAAAAGATCGATGGAGTACTTAGAATGGGATATGACAGTTTACATAAAGATGATCAGTTTCTGTTTCTCCTCATTGCATGCTTCTTCAACTACCAAGACGATGATCGTGTGAAAGCAATGCTCGTTGATAGTAACTTGGATGTTAGACTAGGTTTGAAAACCCTCGTGTACAAATCTCTCATACAAATATCTGCAGAAGGAACTATAGTGATGCACAAGCTATTACAACAAGTAGGTAGAGAAGCGGTTCATTTACAAGAGCCTAGGAAACGCCAAATCTTAATTGATGCTCACCAGATTCGGGATGTCCTCGAAACTGATTCTGTAAGTTTTTTTCTTCCTTTAAATTCTTCACAAATTGATTGTGCTAATATATTCTTTTATTTGGAATAATGATTTAGGATAATAGTACAAGTGTGATGGGTATATCGTTTGATACATCCACAATCCCAAACGGCGTTTATATAAGCGCACAAGCTTTTAAAAGAATGCGTGATCTTCGGTTTCTCAGCATCTACGAGACAAGACGTGATCCAAATGTTAGAGTGCATTTACCTGAGGACATGACTTTTCCACCTCTTCTAAGGTTATTACATTGGGAGGTATATCCAGGAAAGTATCTTCCTCATACACTTAGACCAGAACACCTAGTGGAACTCAATTTTGTAGATAGCAAGCTTGAGAAGCTTTGGCAAGGGATCCAGGTTCGCTACTTATATTTGTCTATGCTTAGAAATTATCATATATTTTAAAACCAAGTCTCTACTTTGTTTTCATGTGTTGATGATCTTTTGATTTTACTATCCAGCCTCTTACAAATCTCAAGAAGATGGATTTGTCCGGGTCTCTGAGTTTGAAGGAAGTCCCTGATCTTTCAAATGCCACAAGTCTCAAGAGATTGGATCTAACAGGCTGCTGGAGTTTGGTAGAGATCCCTTCCTCTATTGGAGATCTTCTCAGACTAGAGGAGCTGGAGATGAATCTATGTATAAGTCTACAAGTTGTTCCAACTAACCTCAACTTGCCATCTCTTGAATCACTCAGGATGTTCGGATGCTGGCAACTGAGAAAAATCCCAGATGTTTCAACCAACATCAAATCATTTGTAATCGGAGACACAATGTTACAAGAGTTTCCAGAATCAATTAGCCTTTGGTCTCACCTTCAGAGTCTCACTATATATGGCAGTCTCCTTACAGTGCCACTTTTAATAATCACGTCGCAAGACATCTCCCTCGCTACAGTTGAGAGAATTCCAGATTGGATCAAAGATTTTCATGGGCTAAAGTTTCTTTATATAGCTGGCTGCTCAAAACTTGCATCACTTCCAGAGCTCCCTCGCTCACTCAGAAAACTAACAGTAGACAATTGCGAATCACTGGAGACGGTAAGTTTTCCTTTTGGCACTCCAAGAACTGAGTTTCTCTACTTCCCAAACTGCTTCAAGTTGTGCTCAGAAGCAAAGAGAGTGATTACACAGAAATCATTTAGAGCTTACTTTCCAGGGAAAGAGATGCCTGCTGAGTTTCATGATCATCGATCATTTGGAAGTTCCTTGACCATCCGTCCGGTTATCTGCAATTTTAGGATTTGCTTGGTGCTTTCTCCTAAACCAGATATGGAAGAAGCTTATTTCGAATTAATGTTTCGCATACGTGCAAAAGGTTGTCCCAGTGATGAAGACATGATTTGGTTAGATCTCCCTAAAATCAGAGGGGAACATATTTTTATATTTCACGCTGAGTTTGTTGAAAATCAGGAGGAGATGTTGTTCAGATTCAGTACCTCATCCCATGAAGTTGACGTTACTGAATGCGGTGTACAGGTCTTGACAGATGAAACCAGCAGAAGGAGCGTAAGGAGCGATGAATCTTTGTTCTGAACAAGTGTCTAAAGATGGCGATGACATTCTCTCTCGTGATAAGAGGAACCAGAGTAAAGATCTTTAAGGGTTATACTATGTTTCTTTCTTTAGCTTTTAGTATCCTTTTGAGCTTGATTTCATGTGTTCTTGTCTATAGCTTTCTAAAGAATCATTGACACTTGAGTATGTGAATTTCTTTTCGTATTGAACTTTCTATCTACTCATTAGTTAGTGCTCACTAGTACTATTGACTCGGTTTTTCACCTGTTTGAAATTTTTTCCATTATGAATACAGCTGCATGCAAGATGATGACATGGCCATTGTTTGGAGAATGCTCTTGTTGTCTCGGGTTTCTTAGTGTAATTGAAAATTTAATCCTCTTGGTGGTTTGAAATTTGGAGACCAAGTCTGTGTTAGATCATAGGGTCGTAACAAAAGGATATAATATTAGTGGACTCTCACTGTTGTTTATCTTGTCGATCTTACCCTGACCATATATTTAGTTATCAGCTGATTAGAGCAGCGCTTCATCATCAACTCTGTTGGATCAGATTAGAAAACGATTTCCTCACAATTTTTTTATACAAGTACGAGATGATATATTGATGAAAGTTCTGTTTCTAAAAGAAAAAAATTGATGAAAGTCGCCTGTAAACTCATAAAGCAGAGAAGACTTAATCAGCTAAGATCCAACCGATAGCTAAGGTTGTAGTTTCCTGTAAATTTCCAAAAAGTCTTGAAAATGATATAAAGAAACGTTTCCATCTCTTTGTAACTCTCATTGGCCGTTTGCGTTTACACACCCAAAACCACTTGTTTGTCCTTGGTATACACACAATTTTTGTAAATGAAAAAAAAAAACAAACGTTACCAATGTGCAAAGACTACAGACTGCACCATAAAACCCTAAACCAGACCAAGTATATATTAAAATTGAATATCAGGAAAACTTCACATATAAGAATTGGAGACGTAAGACCTGATCCTGTAATGTTTCAATAAAAAAACCATGAAAAGATTAACAATACAACATATTTTGAAGTCTAAAATCTTGGATCACCTCTTGTCTACAAGAAAAAACAAATTACATCGTCAAAATTATGAAGAAAAGAAACTTCGTCGCTCTTTAGAAAAATCAACGGCCAATGCAGAATGACTCAGTTATATTTTTGCACATGTACTCTTGAACTATTCTCGATATTCTAATCCCATGGCTTCTTCTTCTTCTTCTTCTTTGCCTCGCACATGGAGATACCGCGTCTTCACGAGCTTCCATGGACCAGACGTGCGTAAGACGTTTCTCAGCCACTTGCGCAAACAGTTTAGCTGCAATGGGATTTCGATGTTCGATGATCAAGGGATCGAGAGAAGTCAGATAATCGCTCCTGCGCTCACACAAGCCATCAGAGAATCGAGGATCTCGATCGTGGTGCTGTCGAAGAACTATGCCTCTTCTAGCTGGTGTTTGGATGAACTGTTGGAGATTTTGAAGTGCAAGGAAGATATGGGACAAATAGTGATGACTATCTTCTACGGAGTAGATCCATCCCATGTTCGGAAACAGACCGAAGATTTCGGGAACGTTTTCAAGGAAACGTGTGCTCATAAAACAGAGGAGGAGGTGCGAATATGGAGCCAAGCGTTGACCGATGTGGGCAACATAGCCGGAGAACACTTTAGGAACTGGTTTGTTCGTTCAATTGTTTGTTTCCTTCCTTCAGTTGATTTAGTATTGTTTTTTTTTCTCAATCTTACAGATGAATTTTTGTGAATCTTCTCTCTGGTTAGGGAATACGAATCGGATATGATTGAAAAGATTGCTAGAGATGTTTCAAACAAACTTAATGTTACTGTCTCTAAAGATTTTGAAGACATGGTGGGTATTGAAGCACACTTGGAGAAGATGCAGTCTTTGTTACATTTAGATAATGATGATGAGGATGGAGCTATGATTGTTGGAATCTGTGGGCCTGCGGGCATTGGTAAGACCACCATTGCCAGGGCTTTACATAGCCGACTCTATAGCAGTTTCCACCTTTCGTGTTTTATGGAGAATCTTAGGGGAAGCTGTAACAATCGTCTTGACGAACATGGATTAAAGCTGCGTTTACAAGAGCTACTTCTTTCCAAGATTTTGAACCAAAACAGTATTAGGATTTGCCATATAGGTACAATACAAGAAAGGCTATGTGACCAAAAAGTTCTTATCATTCTTGATGATGTGGACGATCTGAAGCAACTTGAGGCGTTGGCTAACAAAACTAACTGGTTTGGTCCTGGAAGCAGGATTATCGTAACCACAGAAGATCAAGAGCTTTTGGAGCAACATGGTATCAACAATACATACCATGTAGATTTTCCAACTAACTTAGAAGCTCGTAAGATCTTTTGTAGATCTGCTTTTAAACAGAGCTATGCGCCACATGGTTTTGAAAAACTTGTCGCTAGAGTAACTACACTTTGCAGCAACCTTCCACTAGGACTCTGTGTCATAGGTTCATCTTTACGCGGAAAGAAAGAAGATGACTGGGAAAGTATATTGAATAGGTTAGAGAATAGCTTTGATCAAAAGATCGATGAAGTACTTAGAATCGGATACGACAATTTACATAAGGACGAACAAATCCTATTTCTCCACATCGCATTCTTTTTTAACTACCAAGCCGATGATCATATCAAAACCATGCTTGGTGACAGTAATTTGGATGTCAGATACGGGTTAAAAATCCTCTCCTATAAATCTCTCATTCAAAAATCCACCAAAGGCAAAGTAGTGATGCACAAGTTACTGCAACAAGTGGCAAGACATGCAGTTCAAAGACAGAAGCCTTGGAAGCGCCAAATCTTAACCGATGCTCATGAGATCTGTGATGTCCTCGAAACTAATTATGTAATTTTTTTTTTTTTTNCAGATACGGGTTAAAAATCCTCTCCTATAAATCTCTCATTCAAAAATCCACCAAAGGCAAAGTAGTGATGCACAAGTTACTGCAACAAGTGGCAAGACATGCAGTTCAAAGACAGAAGCCTTGGAAGCGCCAAATCTTAACCGATGCTCATGAGATCTGTGATGTCCTCGAAACTAATTATGTAATTTTTTTTTTTTTTGTTAAATGGTAAAGACTTGATTACCTATTGTTCTAACATTTTCTCGTGTTTGAATTTGTTTTAGGGTGGGAGAAGGGTGACTGGTATATCTTTGGATATATCTACAATCCCAAACGGCATGTATATAAGCGCAGGAGGTTTTAAAAAAATGTGTGATCTTCGATTTCTCAGCATCTACGAGACAAGACGTGATACAAATATTAGAGTGCATTTACCTGAGGACATGAATTTCCCACCTCTTCTAAGGTTATTGCATTGGGATTTATATCCAGAAAAATGTCTTCCTCATACACTAAGGCCGGAACATCTAGTGGAACTCAATTTGGGAAAGAGCAAGCTCGAGAAGCTTTGGCAAGGAACTCAGGTTTGTCTATTTGTTACTTTTGAATACTAATTGTTATGGGTTTTATTGGTTTATGAAATTGAGACTAGTTTCTCTCTCTAGAAAATCTTCTGTAGAACCCTGAACCCTTTTATTAGTTCCTACAACAAGAAAGGCTCATATCTTATCAAAACCTTACGCTTTCCTCCTAGGTACACCTATAAACCATCGTTCATCTTCCCTTTCTTCCCTTTAAATCATTCTCCACACTTTCCTTCGGTTTCATACAACAAAATGACCTCAGAAATGGACAAAGTTCTTCTCAACCTCTCCCTAAACGATGATGATGATCTCCCTTACACTCTCCCTGATCTCCCTCAGTTCTTCGCGACTAAGAGGAATGCATGCAGCCTGATTGGCCGAACCCTTAACCCTGAATTTCAAAATGTCTCAAACCTAAACCTAGATATGCCACGAAAATGGCAGAAGGTTAACAGAGTCAGAGGGTTAGCTCTTACCAAAGAAAGATTCCAGTTCATCTTCTCACATGCAAACGATCTTCAGGATGTTCTAGACAAAGGCATGCAAACCTATAACGATTGGAGGTTGGCAATAGAAAGATGGGTTGAAAATCCTCCTCCTAGCTTTCTTAACCTTCCTGAGGAGGTCAAACAACGATCTCAAGTTCTGCTACAATGACGGACCCAACAGAGGGACCGTCCAACGCGTAATCAAGTATGAGCTTTATCAGTTGGAACTGCCGGGGTTTGGGATTTCCTCATGGTCTGACAGTCCAACGCCTTGTGGAACTACAACGTACGTATTTTCCTGAGGTCATTTTTCTTATGGAAACTATGCATCCAAGAAATGTTCTAGTTGGTTTGCAAGTTTGGTTAGGATATGATCATGTATGCACTGTAGAACCTGTTAACTCTTGGGGGGGGGGGGGTTGGCTCTTTTTTGGAAGGACAATGTAGCTATTAACATTTTGTATGAAGACAAAAACGTACTGGATATAAAAGCTAGCTATCAAGATAAATATTTATACTTTTCTTGCGTGTATGGTAACCCTGCTTATAGTCTCCGACATATAGTTTGGGAAAGATTATCTCGTTTTAGTTTAAATAGAAAAGGTAGCTGGTGTATGTTTGGAGACTTCAATGAGATTCTCAGTAACTCTGAGAAGATAGGTGGTCCTAGAAGGATTGACTCTACTTTCAACAATTTCACAAACATGTTGGAAATCTGTGGAATGACTGAGCTATCTAGTGTAGGTAACTGTTTTACTTGGAGTGGTAAAAGAAGGAAAATGTGGATACATAGTAGATTAGATAGAGCATTTGGTAACCAAGAGGGGTTTGATCTCTTTCCAGCTTCAAACCAAGCCTTTCTAGAAAAGAGAGGTTCAGACCATAGACCAGTTTTGATAAAACTTATCTCATCCCAAGACTCTTATAGAGGATCGTTTAAATTTGACAAAAGATTGTTTCTTAAACCTCACGTTCTTGAAACAATTATAGAAGTTTGGAATCCCTCCAACACAAGTCCTCACTTTAACGCCGCTTCAAGAATCAGATCATGCTGGAAAGCCCTAAGCAGATGGAAAAGAGACAATCAGTCCAACTCCCTACTAAGAATTACTCAATTTCAAATGGCTCTGGAACAAGAACAATCTCTGCTCTCGCCCTCCTCCAGTAAAATTGATTACCTTACAAAATCCTTGTTACTAGCATATAAAGATGAAGAAAAATTTTGGAAGCAAAAATGTAAAGATGACTGGATTCTCCACGGGGATGGAAACACCAAAATCTTTCATACTGCAGTCAAGATAGCTCGTTCCAAGAATAAGATCTCCAAATTGAAAGATTCTCAAGGCAACACCAAACAGTCAGAAGCATCTAAAGCTCAAGTGGCCATTCACTATTTTAATGAGCTTTTCAAGTCCTCTAACTCAGTGGACTATTTTAATCTACTTCATGACATACCAACAAAAGTTACCAGGGATATGAACTCATTTCTTACTAAGATAGTCACAAAAGAAGAGGTCAAGGATGCAGTTTTCTCTATCAAGCCAGACAGTGCTCCTGGTTCAGATGGTATGTGTTGGGCCCATATATGACCCGTTAGCTGAAGATAATAGGCCTGGATAAGAATAACCAATAATGGGCTTTTATGAAGCCTGTTAGTAATTACATTTCGAGAAAGAAGTTAGAAAGAAGCCGGAGGCTGTTTGCTAAGAAAGGAACGTCAACAAAACAGGTCACGGAGGAGAGCTCCAGACCTCATTTACAGAGAGCTAACAGAAGCAGCTCTGGCTGGTTGCGCAGGACCCGGTCAAAAGGAGACTGTTGAGAATCCCCCAGCTCACGGAGAAAATCTCGGAGGTTGGTTAGGATCGTTCAAACGTGGCTGAGAGCTATTTAAGGAAGGGGAAGAGGTCACAGAAGGGGGATCTTCTTGAACTTATTCGACACCTAAAGGTTTAGACACATTTTTCATTGTAACCATCTCTATTAAACATTGTTCTTTCGATTAGATCATCAAGATCATCTTTGTAAACCCTTTTCATTATCGAGATCAATATAAACAAACATATTCGTTCTTTAAGTTCTAAACAGGATTCAGCCCACAATTGTGTTTTCCCAATCTAAACCTAACCTAAACTAGAGAGTGAGTTTTATCCCTCACATTTTGGCGCCGTCTGTGGGGACGAGATAATTGAATCCTTCAATCCGTAACTTGAGAATGGATCCATCCAACCAGCCAACGAGCCCATCCATCCCTGATCCCGTGATCCAGATCGACGGCTCACCGAATAGGAGAAACCCGAATCCTCAGAATCCGGAACCTCGATCCGCCGATCACCGATCCGAGCACCAGCCTCCGGCTAGTGCTCAACCTAACCAAACTGGAATAGCTAACCCAAGATCTTCCAGTGGAAACAATTCGGGGGTTACACACCCCGAAAACCCTCAGCGTCAACCCGCTCCGAATCATTCGGAAGCTCAGCTATCCGAGATGCGTCGAATGATGGTGCAATTGGTAGAAAGAGCTCAGGATAACGAGCGCACGATGCAACAGCTAACTGCTCGACAACAACGATTCGAGGAAGTGACTAGATCCCTAACCGAGACGACCCATCTGTCGCAACGCCAAGGATCGGGAGTCACCTTCCGAGACCGATTGACCGAATCCACCTTCCCTCGCGGACGCCTGGATTTTTCCCCAAACAGCACTGCTCGTGATGGGCAAGAGCCTGTTCTCCGGACACCTCATACCGGGACAACCCCATTATTCAGTCCACCGATAACTAGCGCTATGGGAAGTAATGTAGCGACGAAAAGCTCTGCACCCAATAGGGTTCACGAATAGAGCACACGACTACCACATCCGCCACCTATTTTTAGGTCCGGAGAAGGAATGTCTTTTCCTCCTACGGGAAGAGCACCGGCTTCAGCTTACCAAAATGGGAGCACGATCCCTAATCAAGACAGCCACCCGAGGACGGAAGCTAATCCTACAGCTCACCCCCTGGTCGCGTCCCTCAAGGTGGCCCTAGAGCTAGCGAGCGATTTAGCCCACCTAACGCTTGGGGAAAACGACGACGCTCGACTCCATCAAGGATCTCCTCATCAGATTCACCATGACGATCCAACCGTCCTTCCATTAGAAGGACCTGAGGCTATTCGCCGATATATGGAGCAAACTCACACAGCTCTCCAAAAGTTGAATGCTCAAGTACATAAAGCAACGAGCTCAGCTCCCGAAATCGAGAGCTTGATTGAGGAAACCCGTGGAACCCAATTCACAAACAAAATCGCTAGCTCTTACATAAGAGATACCCGAAAAATTAGGATCCTCGAATATGACGGGACCTCAGACCCGAAGGCTCATTTGAGAGCCTTCCGCTTAGCTATAGTGAAAGCTCACTTCACAAGAGAAGAATGCGAAGCAGGTTATTGCAGAACCTTTGCTGAGAACCTGGTCGGAACAGCTCTCGAATGGTTTTCAAGTCTCGAGCCAAACTCAATAGATAACTTCGACCAGCTCACCAACGCCTTCATGAAGCAATACTCGACCCATATCCTCAAGCAAGCTTCCGAGGCTGACCTCTGGAAAATCAGGCAAGGAATGAGAGATTCGTTACGAATCTACATCGAGAAATTCAGAGCAGTCAGGACTAATCTCTCGAACCCCAACGATCAAGTTGCCATCGAAGCCCTTAGAAGATGCCTCTGGTACAAATCAGAATTCTGGTCCGAGCTAACGCTTAACCCTCCTCCAACTATCGATGATGCTCTTCACAAATCATCGAGATACGTTACCTTGGAAGAGGAAACAGGTGCACTGGATAAAATCCTAAGAAATCCTAGAATCACCCGAAAAGTGAAACCTCAGAAGCAAAAGGATCGTCTAGAAAAGGGAGCTACCGGAACCATCAGACCCAGGGAAAACATTCTTATGCTGCCGAGGAAGTCCAACAGGAAAAACCTGTTGCTGCGACAAGCAAAACTCCCTGGTCAAAAGGCTATGATGAGAACAAACACTGCTCTTATCACGATCGAAAAGGGCATTCAACCGAGGAATGTTGGGACCTCTAACGACAGTTGGCAGCTAAATTCGTAGCTGGAGAACTAAAGGACGTGGAACTCAAAAAACCACCTCCTTACCAGAAAAGAGGTCCCAGAGACACCTCTCCAAAACGTGAAAGATCGTCTGAGAAGGAAACAGATTCGCAACCGCCAGCTCCCAAGAAAAGAGTTGACATGATTCTTGGGAAATTTCCCCAAGGGAAGAGTCTACAAATCGAGACCCTCCTAAGCAAACCTCCGCCTCAGTCGAACCCTAGCTCGAGAGTGATTATATCCTCGGAGGCTCCGATATATGTCAAGACTCAGTTATTTCAATCAAGAGCCATGTGCGGAAGGCTGTTTCTAGAGCTCAGTCTAAGCCTCCCAATCCCGAATCCAACACTAAGATTTCTTTCTGGGAGAGGGAGACATCAGATCTCGACAGACCTCACGGTGACGCCTTAATCGTTA